CGGGGCGGGTGGGAGAGGCCGCTGGCCACCTCCCAGGACGGACCGTGGGCCGACCCTGACCCGCCTGGCTGGGCCGGGGGAGGGGGCCCGGGCAGGGTGGGGTGGACTGGGGGGGGCCGGGCTGGGTGCCCCCCGCTGGGCGGCCCTGAGGCTGGGCGGGGCCGGGCGGGGTGGGGCGCGTGGGGGGCCGCAGGGCCATGTTCAGAGCCCGCCCGCAGCCTTGCTCGTGGGCGTCCACTACAGGACGGCGTGAGCTTCGAGAAGAGAGGGACTGACAGGGGCCCCTGGCCCTGGCGCGCTCTCTGGAGGCCGCGCCTCGCTGGCCCGTGGCAAGGGGAGGGGCCGCAGGCTCGGCCAGGGGCCCACAGGAGCCAGAGCCAGGGCCTCTGGCAAGGACCGAGGGTCCAGCCCCGGGCGGCTGTTGGGCTCACGCTGGACGGTCCAGGCCGCTGTGGACAGGGAGGCCCTTCCAGGAGGGTGTCGGCCCCGCAGCTCAATGGGCCTGTTCAGAGAGGGCCACGGGGCCGGACGCCTGCACAGGGGCAGCAGGTCAGGAGCCGAGGGGCCGAGCCCCTCCCTCCCCGCCCGGCCTCGCTCCTGCTCCCCCCTCCCCGCCTCCCCCCTCCTCCCCCCGCCCCCTCCAAGCACAGCCCTCTGAGACGGGCGGCGGGGACCGGTGGGGCGAGGCGGCCGAGGGAATCCTGCCTGGGATGCGGTGGGGTCACCCCTTGTCCATGGACTCGGCCATTTTGCTGGGCAGCGCCTCGCCGTCCCTCGCGGGAGGCACGTCAGAGACGGCAGCGTAGCCGAGGGGGTGACGTGCGAGGGAATCGCTGTCCCCAGGCCCTGACCCCGAGACCGGCTGCGGCTGTGTCCCTTCTGCGGCCAGCAAGGGGCACAGAGCTCCGTGCCCCCAGCCAGCCTGGCCACACGTCCCCCCAGCGCCGCGGAGGCCACGACCGGAGAGGAGGACCTGGCGCCCCCCAGGGCAGACGGGCAGGGACATGCGGCCGGCCCACGAGGGAAAGCATGGGACAACCGCACGCTGCCCGGGAGGGAGGCTGGCACCTCCGTCCACCGGGGCCAAGCTCTGCGGGGCCGACCAGGAGGCATCCCCCTGCTGCGCCTAAGCGTGGGGGCCCCAAGGGCCGCCCAGGGGGCTCCAGGGAGGGCGCATGGCCTGACTGCTGGCCCCGTGCAGACGCCGGGAGCGGCCGAGCCCAGGGACGTGGCCCTCTGTGGGCGCGAGGGCAGGCTGGGGCCCGGGCGTGTCCAGTGCTGGGACCACCTGGCAGAGCAGCAGAGGGGTTGCCGGCCTGCGGGGGGACAGCATGGGCTCCGGGCGGCCCGCGGGGGGACAGTGTGGGCTCTGGGCGGCCTTGCTCCCCCAGGGCTGGCGGCCCCGGAGCCCTCACACACCCAGCGTGGGAGTCTGAGCAGCGGCGGCGGTGCCCACCCGGACTGCGGTGCTGCCCGAGGCACTCACGCCTTCTGAGGGTCGTCCTCCGGGAGCCCCGCCAGCAGCCTCAGAAGTTAAGGACTGGCTCCCCCGAATCCACGGTGTGGGGCTCGGGCGGGGGTGACGGTCCCCACCCCCGCGCTGGTCTCCAGGACGAGGGCACGGCCCTGTGGCCGAGCAGGAGCAGGAGGACCGGGGCCAGAGAGCAGAGCTCGGCCACTGGCCGGGAAGCAGAGCAGAGGGAGGATGACAGGCCCGGGGCCGCGAGGCCGGGGCAGCGGGCGACGCTGCAGGGAGCGTCCTCTCGCCGTGTGTACGTTCCTCCTGCTGCGGCCGCCAAGCACGGCGGCCCGGTGCCCCCGAGGCAGCTCTAGCGGGTGGAGTGAGGGCACGAGCTCCCATCTCCGCCATGGCCGGCGGCTCTAAGTCCCCGACAAACACGCGGCTGCAGCCGGCGTCACTCCCCTGACCCGCACGTGGTCGGGCCGCGCTGGGCGCCCGGGGGCTGTCGTGATTGTGACTGAATCTCGTTCCCCTGCAAGAGGCCGTTCTCGGAACCTGCCCCCGGGGCTGTGGGTCCGCGTCCAGCACACCGAGTGTCCCTCACACCCCGAGGACAAGATGACCACGCGGGGTTGGGCCGGCCCCGTCCGAGGCCTCGGGGATGCCGCTCAACCCTCCTCTGCGTCAACCCTGCAGCGTCGCCCCGGGGCTGGCTGGGGAGCGCCGCTCTCCCTCCAGGCACGGGCACTGGCCACCCAGCCCCACCCGGCCCACCGGGCCCAGCGCAGTGCCAAGGAGCCCCTGGGGGCCCGCCAGGGCCGCGCCCGCCCCAGCTCGACTTCAGTCTCGCTTTCAAGTCAAAGCCGCAGTGACTGTCCTGGGCGTTCGGTCTTTACCCGCCTGCAGGTGGCTTTGAGGAGCGCCCTGGCCTCCTCTGGTACCCCCCTCTGTCTCCGGGGCGACCATGCCCCAGACTCAACCCTGCGTGGCCCAGCCCACCCCAGCCCTATGTCCGCCGCCACGGCTGGACACGGGCACGGACGTCGGTCCCGCTGCCCAACGCTGAGAGCCTCTTGGGCCGGGAGCTTGGACACTGGAGCCAAGGCCGGGCCCACCGTCCCTACCCCGGGCTCAGGCACCCAGCAGCAAACCAGCCCAGGCCCAGAAGGTGGCCGCTGTCCCACCACGAGGAGAGGCCATGGGTCAGGCGTGCCCTGGGGTGTCCCTGAGGGGACAGCTCCAGGTTGAGGGGCCAGCCTCCCTCCAGCTATCCAGGGGGCTCAGCAGGGCCTCCGGGAACTTCTGGGACTTGGAGACTGCAGACCAGGTCCAGTCAGGAGGCTGTGAGGGCCGCATGATGGCACAGGTGTGCCCGGGGCCAGGCCTGGGCACAGAGGCCACGCTGTCCTGGACCTTGTGGGTGACAGGCCAGGGCCGCCTACCCTCTGCATCTTCAGTGGGGACAGACGCCCCGAGACCCACCCTCAGCAGCCCCACGCTCCATGTCAGAGGCTTCTGGAAGGGTCACGGCAATGACCCCTGGTGCCTCAGGCAGACCCCGTAAGTGCGACAGCACCCAAAGTGCCCTCTGCGGACGCCCCTGTCGGCCGCGCTCGGGAAGGGACGAAGGAGCTGCCTCCTTGGGGCTGTACCTGCTTCCCTGCGACGGGCTAGAGACAGGGACGGGGCGCAGGCATCAGGAGGCCTCGGGGAGCCACAGGGGCTCAGGCGCTGCTGGCAGGGGCCACGCCCACTCTCAGTCTGGGGGGGCCTGAGCGTGGCCAGTGGGCCCCCCGCAAAGGCCAGGAGGGCGGGAGGGCAGCAGGTGCTGGGTCCAGGCGTCACAGCTGGCTCTAGGCCGGGACACATGGAGGGCAGGTGAGAGGGGCCGCGTCCAGCCCTCTGCGCCTCGCCCGGCCAAGCTCGCACACGCAGGATCCAGCAGGCTGCGGGCGTCTGCTGCCCCGCGCCGCTGCGCCATCCCCCAGGGTTTGGCCCTGACCCCCCTGGCCCGGCTGGGGCACCGTGTCCAGGTAATAGTGTCCGCACGACCACCGTGCGCCCAGCCAGCTGACCAGAAGCCCCACATCCACTTGCAGCTGCTCCACAGGCAGCTTCCCCAGCCATGGCCCAGGAGGGAGCGGGAGCACGTCCCAGAGACCCCGGCTTCGCCCTGCTGCCCGCGGGCGCCGCTCCTGACCCGCGGGGGCGTCGGGAGTCAGAAGAGACCCCCAGAGACAGGAAAGGGCCTGAAAAGAGGCCACAGCACAGGCCAGTCCAGCTCGTCCACCGCCCGGGACCGTGTACCGCATCTTACCCCGACTCCGGGAGGGGCTCGGGGCACCGCAGTGCGGCCTCAGACCCCCCACCCCCGAGCAGCCGTGTGTGGGGCGCTGCGGCTCGGCCACAGCCCGGGCCCTGAGCAGCCGTAAGGGCCAAGGTGGCCAGGACAGGGCGGGGGACATGGCTGAGATTTCGATCGTTCCTGGCACTGGCCGGTGATTCTGTCCTTCCAGGGGACTGGCAGGCCTGGGGCACCCGCCAGCAGGCAGATGGGGGCTGCCTCTGCGCCCCAGGACCTCTGTGGTGCCACAGCTGAGCTGGCAAGCGCGGAGCGTCCGTCAGCCCCGCCACGGCCCCCGCGGGAGTGGCCCGTCCAGGCGTGTGCCCGGGCGTCCAGGCACGTGCGGCGGTCAGCCTCCCGGCCGGGCCTCGGAGGCGCTGGGAAGCGGGGCGTGGGGAGCCCCCGGCCGGGGAGCGGCGCTAATCCCCGAGCGGTCTGTGAGGCAGGAGGCAGGGACCCGGGCTGCTGCAGAAGAATTTTAGGTATGAGCAGCGAGCGGCTCCTTCCCCCTCCGCAGCTCACAAGAGGCTCCCAGGACTGCTTCAAATTTGCTGAAAAGCAGAACCGACCGCAGCCGCCCGCCTGGCCGCACAGCACGGCCTTCAGGGCAGGCGGCCCCGGCGCCGGACCTTGGTGTTTTCTCGAGCACTTGTTGGAAAACGCAGTGAGGGGGATGGTTTCGCCTCCGCAGATCGCGTTCGTTACGGGCAGCCCCCGCCGAGGGGCCGGGCGGGGCTGCAGGCTCGGTGGCCCGGGCTGGGCCGCCCCGCGGCTCGGGCTCGGGCTCGGCTGGCCGCGCACCTGGCCGGCGCCGAAGCTCAGCTGAGAAGGAGAAGGTCGCCGACCCGGCAGCCCGGGACCGAGGCCGCGCAGCCCCGCCCCTGCTCCTCCGGCAGACCCCGAGTCTTCAAGGTCGCTGCTCCTGCGCACCCCGGCGGGGGTCGGGGGCGCCGCGCGGACCCGCAGCCCCTCCTCCGCCGCCAGGCGCCCCGGCCTGCCCGCCAAGGGGGCGCGGGGCTCGGGGCGCGGGCGCGGGCGCGGCCTCCCGGCCTCCCACGCGTGGGGCGCGACGCGCAGCGCCCCCCGCCCCCCGCGCCCCGCCCCGCCCCAGGCTGCGGCGCCCGCGGAGGAGGCCGGTCCGGGCCCACCTGCGGCGGAGCCGGGTCACCTGCCCGCCGGCGCGACGCGACTCACCGTGAGCGCCGAGAACCGCTGCGCGCGCGCCGGCCGGAGCCGCAGCAGCAGCAGCAGCAGCAGCGCGGCCAGCAGGGGCAGCCAGCACAGCCGCGGCAGCAGCATGGTCGCGGGCGGGCCGGCGGGCCGGGCCGGGCCGGGGCCGGGGCTGCGGACCGACGCGGCGCTCCTGCTGCTCTCGCTGTCAAGCCGGCGCTTCCCGGAGCCTCGCCCCGCCCGCGCCCCACCCCGCGCCCCGCTCGGCGGAGGGGCGGCCGCGGAGGGAGGGGCCGAGGGGCCACCGGGAGGTGCGGCCGGTGGGCGCCGGCCCCCCCGCGCCGCCCGCCCGCGCGCCCGCCCCGCCGGTGGCACCACGGCCCGGGCGGGCCGGCCGAGGTCCCTGTGGGCTCCGGGCCGCCCCCGGCCGGCGGCTGGGCGCGCAGCAGGTCGGGCTCCGGCCCCGCAGGTCCACCCCGCAGCCGGCGGCCCGGGCGGCCTGGAGGGCGGCGGGGCAGCCCGGGACCGAGGACAACGGGCGGGCTCGGCCGGCGCCCGAGAGGTCCAGCGGCGCGGGGCGCGAGGCTGCACAGGCACGGCCCGGGGCGCGGGCTGGACGGCGTCCACGCAGCAGCATTGCTGGAATAGTTTGGCCCCCGCTCCGGCTGCACAGGGAAAAGCCCGGTTCTGACTCACAGAAAACCGGGAGTGGGGCGCGTCCAGGACGGGGGCTTGGCCGGGGAGGCAGCGCTCAAGCTCCAGACCCCGCCGTCGCCGTCACCCACGCTCACGGCGCAGCCCTGGCTCCCGGCCGGGGTCCTGGGGCCGGCTGGGCGGCCCGAGACAAAGGCGCTCTGCCCCCCGCGCCCACGTTCCCACCAGGCCAGGGCCCCTCTCCCGAGAGGGGGGCTCCAGCGCGCACCCTCCATTCCCCGGGCTCCAGCGGCTCCTCAGCCCCTCCATGTCCACGTCCGTGGGGGCCCCTGAAGGCCCAGCGAGAAACCCCAGCAGAGCTCCCTGGGAGCAGGTGGGGGAAGCAGCTGCAAGCGGTTAAGGGAACAAGGAATAATACTAGGGAACTGGGAAAAGGTGAAAGCCAAGCAAATGCTGCAGCCCGCGGGGTCCCGACCGTCGGGACGAGGCAGAGGCCGGCCCTCGCGCTTCCGGGGGCTGCTGTCAAGGGGTCCTCTGCGGTGACGGGAGGGGCGCGTCTGTCCTTGCACCCCGCGGCTGCTGGGAGGCGGCCACGGAGCGACGCGATGACCCCGTCACGGGCGCGGGGAGCAGGGGGCAGAGGCCCGCACCGCCCCACTCACCCCAAGGGCTCCGGGAGCCACGCGGCAGGCAAGGCAGGCCCTGAGCGCAAGGGGCACCCCCCAGGCAGCCTGGGTGCTTCGGGGGCCCGGCTGGCCCGCGGGCCCCTCGGACCGTGACTCGCCTGCTCAACGCCTAGCGGGGGTCACTGGCCACCGTCTTCCAGGCAGCCCGAGCAGCCCCCCGAGACTCTGCCTTCTCAGGCACGCGGTCAGCGCTGAAGGGCCTTTCTGCCGCCGCTGGCCCCTGAGCCCAGACGCCGGGACCTCGAGCGCCACAGAGAGGGGATGCGGGGGCACGGCCCCGTCTCTGCAGCCCCCCACGCCGCCCAGCCCACGCCGCCCGCTGCCAGCCAGGCGCCGCTGCCCGCGTTTATTTTACTATGCTCGGCTGGAAGGGCTTCGTGCTCGCTGCAGACGCAGGACAATCGCGTTATTATTTCTGGCTGATTCACGTTTGACCAGAAAACGTCGAGTCAGCTCACTGGCTCCCGCGATTTCACGAACACCTGCGCCCCAGCCCAGCCCCCGGCCGCCGTCCAGCCTTGTCCAGGCGGGGGAGAGGAGGCCCGGCCACAGGGTGCCCTGGGCAGCCGCCCACCCCACAGGGGCGCCTCTTGTCCTGCAGCCCCGTGCCCACGCCGTCCCCGAGGACCCGCTGCTCCTCCCCTTCGGCACCCCCCCCCAGCGCTCCACCCCCGCCCCTCAGTCTGCGCTTCAGCGAAGCCTCACCCAGACCCACGGGCTGCCCAGCGGGGCAGCTCCTCCAGGCCTGGTTCTTCCTGCCCAGCCAGGGCCCCTTCCGGCCCCAGAGTAGGCCGGACACGCCCCCTGCCCACAGACACCCCCCCGTCGGTCCCCGAGCCGTCCTCACCTTGCCCCCATGAAACCAGTTGTGGTGTCTGCGCCGCAGAGACGCAGCATCCTGCCAAAACCCTCGCCCAGGCACCCCCCAGGCCCCAAAACTCTCACCCCGGTGCCCCCTGGCCCCATGGCAGAGCCCAGGCATCCCAGCAAGTGGCTGCTGGAGGCCGGTTCCCTCCCTCCCCGGGGAACCTTCTCCCTTCTTCCCAGGAGACCTGGTGGGGGAGGAAACAACTTCCAAGTGGCAACAGGCGTTTGGGCCTGTGGACCACACAGACGCGGGACGCGCGGAGCAGAGCCCTGCCTGGCCTTCTCCCCAGCGCCCCAAGCCCCACCCAGCCCCCTGCCAGCACCCACCCAGTGCCCCCCAGCTCCCCGCCCCGTCCCTGCCGCCCCCAGCCCCGCCCAGCCCCCAGCCCAGGGCCTGCCAGCCTGTCCGTCGCCCACAGCTGCGCCCAATGCAGAGGCACCCTCAGCATCGCCCGGCAGCCGGCCTCCCCGGGGCTGGGGCTGTGCTCAGCCTCTGGCCGGGCTGTCGGGGGGACATAATCCCACCCGGGGGCGGAGCTGCTTGGCCCTCATGGGCTGTCAGCTGCACATATGGCAGACTCTGCATTCCTGGAAGACAGCCCGGAGCCCGGCTGGGGACCCTCTGACCCTGGCCCTGCAGGCCTGGACGCTCCCGCGCTTAGCCCCAAGGCTGGCACGCAGCGGGCGCGCACAGGGCAGCTCATTCCCTGGAGGCTCCCCGCGCACCTGTGGAGCTTGGGCCTGCCCCAGGCACCCAACACCTCGTGGGCACGCAGCACAGGCATGGGGGCGGCCGGGCCAGGAAGGGCGTTGCCACCTGGGTCCTGGCCTCCAAGATCAATATGGGTTCGGGCCTCCCTGGCCTTGCGGCTCGCGGGGCACTGATGTGTGTGTGTGGAGTCAGAACACCCATGAAATGTCGTGATTTACAGGGAGAAAATGGAATTCGGCATGTGGAGCACACGTGCCACGTCCAAGGAGGTGGCTGGGCTCACGGAGGTGGCTGGGCTCAAGGCCACCCGAGATTCTCTTGGACCTGACCAGGCCCTCGGTCAGGGGGGATGGAGCCGGGCCGAGCCGGGCCTGACTTCGGGGCTCAGCGCTCGCTGAGGAGGCTGCGGGGCGGGCGTGGGGCCACCTGCCATCGGGGCTGCCCGGGAGGCCCCCGTGTGAAGAGCCGGCCTCTGAGCGCCCCTCGTGTCCAGCGCGCCCTCCCCGTGGAGGCGCCTGCCAAGGCCCAGCGCTGTGCCCCGAGTGGCGGGATCAGTGCTCTCGCGGGCTCCCCTGCGGGGAACGGTGTCCCCCAGAACACGGTGAAGGCAATGACAGCCTCGCCTTAGATTTCAGGAGAGTTTGCTCCGGAATTGGAGAGCTGCGCCCCGGAGAGCTGAGAGAGGTGGGAGGGACCACAAAGCCACCCCCCGGCCAACCCGGCCTCCATGGACACGCTGGGGCGGGGCTTTGACGCGCCTAGGGGGAGAAGGGACCGGAGGGAACAGCCATGCCGGTGCTGGGCCAGAAGGGGCAAACGGGGTGGCGCACACGGCTCACCAGGGGTGCCGAGGGGCAGCACCAGGACAGACCCCACCAGGGAGAAGCCGCGGCTCCCCCACCCCAGGCTGCAGCGGCTTGGGCTGCGGACCTGGCGCCCAGGGCCCCAGAGTGTGCGGGGGTTGTGGGGCCAGTGTCTCCGGCCCACTCAGCCCTGGGAGGACCGGCCAGATCACCACTGGCTCTAGGGAGAGCCGCCAGGCGCGGGTGACTGGCTGGGCGGGGAGGGAGCACTCCCCCTCTCAGAGCTGCTGGCGCCAGGCCGCAGCCGCTGCTGGTAGCGCAGTGGGGAGCACGGGAGGGGAGCAGGCAGGGAGCATGGCCAGGGAGCACAGAGAGCACGGCGGGGCGTGGAGCATGGCAGGGGAGCACAATGGGAGCACGGAGGGGGAGCACGGTGGTGGGGAGCACCGTGGGGTGTACGGCGCTGCCTGCGGGACCTCACTGTGAACGGTCGCCAAGCCCGCGAGAGGCCCCCCGGCACAGACAAGCGCCCACAGACACAGAAAGGCGCGGACAGCAGATGAGGGTGACGGGTGGGGTTGGGGGGAGGAACGTCTGGCGGGAAGATGCTCACCCGCAGGAGCTGCGCAGCGCCTGACAGACTCGGGAGCAGGTGGACGCTTGCCAGACACACAGACACACCCATGTGCACACACGTGTGTGCCTGCATGATGCTTGTGCACGCGTGCATGTGCCCTCCAGCACCCCACGCACCCCCATCTCCACCCTCGGCCTGCCGGCTCTGGGACGCCCTGGCCGACAAGGGGCTGGGAGGCCGCGTGGGGTTCTCGGGTGCCCGGCTGGGCAGGATCTGCCACATGAAGGCCGGGTGTGCGGCAGGGTGGAGCCAGGAGGGCCGCGTGTCCCGCCGCGTGTGTCATGGCGACTGGCTCCCCGCGCTTCCTGGGCACAGCGGCCTGCTCAGGCTCTGCCTCCGCGTTTCAGCCCCTCCAGTGCCAGCTCGGTGCCCGAAGCCTTGCCCCGCTCCGTGTCCAGCCCCAGCGCCAGGCCTGTCCCCAAGTGCTCCTGCCAGCGGGTCCAGAGCAGAGCCGCGTGCTGTGACACGCCTGGGGTCCTGGTGCCCGCTCACTCCACGTCCACCGTTCCGTCTGTCCCTGGACTTGGGAGCGTGACTCTCTCCCGAGACATCTAGCGAGGGGGATGTGGCCGGTGGCAGCTCCTGGTGGGCCCCTGAGCAGCCACAAGTTGGGGGCATGGCTTTGAGGAACAGGCTCTGAGTTCCAAGACTGGTCCCGCCTCTGTCCCTCTGCTGTACCGCCTGGTCAGCAGGCCAGGCCGTGGCCCTTGGGGGCACAAGCACTTCAGAGAGCAGCCACTGCAAGGGTGTCCTGCCCACCGGTCGTACTG